AACTCGGGACTTTCTCGTCTTCGGTACTAGCCGATACAAGTCTGGCTAGACATACCGGCGATACGTAACGAGAGGTGAGGTGCACTCCATGGCGCTGTATTTTGTAATTGGCCCTCCGTACTCTACTTCGGGCAGGGTCCATCCAGGGTGGAGTCGTCAGGTACCGGCAACAGCTCTCCACGTTCCTCGGCGTAGATCTGGCACGTCCTCCTTTGGTGGCTTGTTATTTCGTGGTGGCTCGGTACGGTGTCGTATTCGCGATTTATGAAATAAGGTACAATTTGGAATTAGCTTAAGGTTCGATAGCTAGTCTATGAGCCTGGAGTTCTTAGCCGGTATCGTGCTGGGTTGCCAGAAAAAGGGACGGAACTGCGTCCCGCCGTTCAAACACGCGAGTTACTCTTCCAGAGTCTTGTGACGGTATAAAATAACGTCACACTACATATATCTATAGACAGTATGTTATATCTATAGTAGATAGCCACAAGTCGTACAATTGATTTTCCCACAGTATCAGATTTCGTATTCGAGATATTGTCTGTAATCAGTAAACGATAAGGATACCCATATTTAAGTTTTTATTAATGGACACCATCGACGATTTAATTATTACCAATATTCGTTGAGGGTATTATAAAGTAATAAAAGAAATCTTCATTCATATACATTAAATAAGACGAGATGAAAGCCTGTTGTATAGATACGATCTATATATTTGAAAATTACGTAAATCAATATGGCATCTGTACCTATCGGTATTTTATCTACCTTCGCAGTGATTGAAACTTCTAAGGCATTGAAATGACGCAAATCTCATTTCGAAGCTTAACAATTTCCTTTAATTACTCATCGCCGGTCTTTCACTTGGCGACTAGTACAAGAGGTAGCTCTTTCTGGTGTGCTCTTTCTATAGGGTGAAAAAAAAGGGAGAGGGTCGTGAAACGGCAACGGAGAATTCAATGAGAAGCGAGGGAGACTCGAGAACCGTAAGATTTAAACATTAATGGGAAACCACCACGTCGGGAATTTTTTTTTATACCTAGAAGCATCACGATTTTTTTACGTTTTTTTTTGTTCTACGCCAATAATCTTTCTAAAGAATTTTCATTGTCGAATTGATGTCATTGAACCGTCAAACTCGTTTAAATTTCATATTCCGATTTTCGACGATATCTCGGGTAGGGTTCTTCTTCTTTGCTATGACGTCACATACTGACCAAAAGTAAAAAAAATATATATATTTTTTTATTATATTTTTTGTACTTCGTATATAAAATGTTACTACAGCATGTATCGTCTAGGTAATTACGTACCTTTTGGTAGCCGTTGATAAAATGGCCATTCGGCAATAAGACCCAAGTTTGCGTTTAGCCAACTGATAACCCACCCATTGAGAAGGGCACTCTATACGGGTGGTTACGAGCCATTACGCTCGGCGGGTAAACTCAAAATGGCTGTAGGCACTTTCAGACACTGGGGTTCCTTTTCTTTCTTTTTTTTTTTATTTTCTTTTTAATACGAGCCTCTCGCCGTCACGCGATTACACGTCCGAAGGTGGCATTACAATACAGCAATTTATGGCAAAATCGTAGACGGAAAAAAAAACGAAGGATAAACCAGTTTGAAATGGCGATAAGGAATTTTTTTAGAAATAAAAAAATATTTCGTGTCGATTTTGCGAAAAAAAATGTTTACAACAAATTTGCATACGAACGCTCGTCAAGCAGAGGGTGAAGATAATGCGTGTGCACGACTATAAATATTTGCGCAATAATTTGATACGCTCATATGTATCTGTTCATAGCGTGGATCCTGGTCATAAGGATTATTGATAAGAATTGCAAATACTCAAAAATTCAATAAGCTTATCGCCCAAAGGCGTATTTACACGTCACCTGTAACACGCGCGGCGTAAAGAATAAAGTTCGTCAAATTGACATGTGAAAATTTGCAGATGACCAGACATATCTGCGTTACGGTACCCGAGGCAGATGATGGAAGCGAATTTATTTTCGCGTCATGCGAAATCGGATTCCGCTCTGAATTGGCAACACGCGTGTCTCTCCATGACTTTTCGTTTATTCGATGAATACGTAAAAAAAAAAAAAAAAAAAAAAAACCA